GTACTAAAGTTGTACTACAAAGTCGCCAGTTCTCATCTTCCAGCTCCAGATACTCCGCGTACTAAAGTTGTACTACAAAGTCGCCAGTTCTCAGCTTCCAGCTCCACAGATTGCTCCTTTAAAGTTGTACTACAAAGTCGCCAGTTCTCATCTTCCAGCTCCCCAGATACTCCGCGTACTAAAGTTGCACTACAAAGTCGCCAGTTCTCAGCTGCCAGCTCCACAGATTGCTCCGCGTACTAAAGTTGTACTAGAAAGTCGCCAGTTCTCATCTTCCAGCTCCCCAGATACTCCGCGTACTAAAGTTGTACTACAAAGTCGCCAGTTCTCAGCTTCCAGCTCCACAAATGCTGTGCCTGCCACGAAATTTGACACATGGAGGTTCACAAAGTGCTGCGCCTGGCACGAAATCTGCACATGGAGGTTCACAAAGTGCTGTGCCTGCCACTAAATCTGCGCATGGAGGTTCACAAAGTGCTGCCCCAGCCACGAAATCTGCACCTGGAAGTTCACAAAGTGTTGCGCCTGCCACGAAATCTGCACATCGAGGTTGACAAAGTGCTGTGCCTGCCACGAAATCTGCACATGGAGGTGGTGTGCGCATGGAGGTTCACAAAGTACTGCACCTGCCACGAAATCTGCGCATCGAGGTTCACAAAGTGCTGTGCCTGCCACGAACTCTGCACATCGAGGTTCACAAAGTGCTGTGCCTGGCACGAAATCTGCACATGGAGCCTCACAAAGCGCTGTGCCTGCCACGAAATCTGCACATGGAGGTTCACAAAGTACTGCGCCTGCCACGAAATCTGCACATGGAGGTTCACAAAGCGCTGTGCCTGCCACGAAATCTGCACTTCAAGAAACAACTGAAACCTCTAATCACAATGGAGGGACGATTCCGAGCATGATCCGACCATGACCTGAGACCGTCTCGCAACCGTCGTTCCGCGGAGCTTCCCCGTCGAGGTTCGGATAAGTAGAGGCATCACTCAATGCAATATATAATATATACTACATAGTTTTTATAGCATGGATCGATTTATGTTTTCATTGACTCTCGTGAACCACCCCATTGTGGAAAAAATGCATGGGTTGAAGAATAAGCTTGACCTCTCACCACACGTTTTATGTTACTAGTAAACCAGGAAATACCACAGCACAGGAGCCCATTCACACTCAAGACATCTCGAGACACATGCTGGCAGCTATACCAGGACCATCCTGTGGTGTCTAATGGACTACCCGACTTATGGACACCCAGACAGGAGATGGTCCAGGACCAAATCAAACGACCCCTCGCGCGTGGAGCCCACCTGCTCGTCAGCTCCCAGGTGAAGCTCCGTGACCGCGGTGTCGGACTGGGACGTGGGCGACGGCGAAAACGGCTTGTGGGGCCCATCCCCTATTGTAGGGCATGGCCCGGCAGGTTCCATGGAATGCAACACATTGGTAATTAAATGTAATTTGGATACTAAGTTGGATACATGGTACTTCTGTGATCTTCTGTGTGTTTCGAAATTATGATAAAAACCCTTTTGGAATCTTATTGGATCTGTTTTGGACCCATGGCCTGTCAATGTCGGAACCAACCGGTTGGAACCCACCTCCACGCGTTGTTTCGCCAAAAGCGGCGCGAAAACCAGCGGCCATTCTGGCGAGTCTCCCATCGATCTGGTGTCGATGGTCGGTGCACCGTTGGCCACGTTGGACTGACCGTTGGACCGACGGAGGTGTGGGACCCTGACTGGACCATGGCTGGCATCACGTGATTTGACTCGCGAAACATGGGCCGAGCGTGGTTCCAGTCCACGTGTGGAGGTACACTCGTTGATACTCACCTTAGCTGGACACGGCTATACTTCAAAAAGCCCATGCAAAAAAAGGGGGCCCCGCTGCAGAAGCCCCTCGATCTCCAGCACGCTTGGCTGGTTGTCTTCTTTTGGAAGATCCGGGGGTGCGACCTGAAGGAATCTCGTCTCACTGTCGTCTCGGAACTTCGACCGTCGCTTCTTCTCGTCTCAGGTCATCCGAAAAAGGCACGGTCACAAAGTCAAAAGGCATTGCAATCGATGTCAACCATTGTCAACGGAAGAGTCAACATCTGGACGACTTCAAACTTACTGTTGGCGACTGACCCACGTCGGCTTTCCGGAGACTCCTCCTGCCGGCAAAGGATTCAGAGCCAAATAACGTTGACCATTCCCGGTCGCTGTTCCGCATGTGCACTATTGCAGGGCATCCCGGCGAATTTGGAAACTGCGACTCTGGAGCGGACAAGCTTTACCTGAGGTATAGACTCAGGTTTCAGACAAAGACTTTGGAGGATTGTTTGTTCATGTTTGTTCTACAGTTGTCAAGATCAAGTCGAAATGCTCCAAATGAATCACATTCACCTGTTAACTTGAAGCGTTTGAATTTGGCAGGACCTTGCAGATGAACTTAGAAGGTGATTGGGGCACATCTAAGCTATCTTTTGTCAGTATCTGTTGCAAGGCAGATTTCTTTCAATGTCCACCGAATCTCCCCAGATCCAAATCCAAATAGTGTCAATCTCCCCAGATCCAACTTCCAGTTCCTCTCACTCCAAGAAAGGTAATTTTCCCGATCCAAACACCTCAGAGAGAGCTGATGTCCGTTCCATCCTCGCCACTCATGCGTTTTGGCGGCTCACTGCCTTGCTCAGCAGCGCGCTCGGGCGGCTTCCACAAGAAGCAAGCGATCAGCCCCAGGAGAAACATCATCCTGAGAGCTCTGCCGTCACCGGTGGCTAGGCCACAAAAACTCCATGAGGGGGGAAAAGCCTCTACAAACGTCTAAATGTAGAAGGAAGCAAAAACAAATCCAAAATCTTGCACGTCAATATATGTATAAAAATAGTAATAATAATATAAGCATAAGATAACAATACTATATATAATATCATTGGACTACCATAACTATCTGCATTGGTCTGCATTCCCCCCTTGGGAAGGTCGATTTCTCAACTCATCGAAGATCAATATTGGGTCTCACAATGATGTTACATCATGTTACATCTAAAGACGCAGCCACGTATGCTTGCCCGCAGATTGTGCTTTGGGTGTGTTCAGACACCCCCCACCGCAGAAGCTGTTTTCAGACCTTCGCACTTGGATTGCATGATTACAGTAGCACTTATCGCATGATATCGCATGTATTGGACCCTTCAGCGAGAAGCCCTCTGAGACCACGTTCTGACCCTACCCACCCACGACCCGATCTCTTTTGCAAAAACCTAGTGGCACGAAGGCGCCAAACTGAAAGAGCCCCCAGCGTGGCAGCCCAAAGAGGATTGGTTCCTCCTCCCCGGGGACGCCGTACCTTGACGATGTACGTGGAAGAAGGGTTTCCAAGAAACGGTCGAAAGGACAAAAAATGTTAGGGCTCATTCATTCTTTTTCGACCGCAGCAGGTGTAGGCGTTCTGA